CTAGGCGGACACCTTCCACCTGCGTGCTCAGTTATGTCCGCGACACCTCCCCCGCGTCCTCAAATATATTCGCGCATAGACGATAAAATAGAGAGGGCGGTGTCAGCGTCACCTCCATCAGCACCCGCGAGTCCTCAGTTATATCCGCAAATAGGGCGGCAGAATAAAGAGCGCAGTGTCCGCGACACCTTCCTCCCTCCCTCCCTCAGCACTTGCGCGTCCTCAGTTATATCAGCGCATAGGGCGGCAGAATAAAGAGCGCAGTGTCCGCGACACCTTTCTCCCTCAGCACCCGCGCGTCCTCAGTTATATCCGTGCATAGGGCGGCAGAATAGAGAGGGCGGTGTCCGCCAGTCTCCCTCCCTCCCTCAGCACTTGCGCGTCCTCAGTTATATCAGCGCATAGGGCGGCAGAATAAAGAGCGCAGTGTCCGCGACACCTTTCTCCCTCAGCACCCGTGCGTCCTCAGTTATATCCGTGCATAGGGCGGCAGAATAGAGAGGGCGGTGTCCGCCAGTCCGCGACACCTCCCTCCCTCCCTCAGCACCTGCGCGTCCTCAGTTATATCCGCGCATAGAGCGCCGGAAAAGAGGTCCGCTACACCTCACTTCATTTTCATAACCAGTCACTTTCGTTTTCACATTGGGGTTGAGGGCGGCGTGATCGTCCTCTGCCTAGAGCGGCAGTTCAGCTTGCTCTGGCCCTGCCCGTGATAAACAAATGACTCTAAACGCATATGATTGGCTTCTGCCTTTCCGCGATGAACCACTCAAAATGTGATGAAGACTTGAAATGAACGAGACCACCTGCACAAATGTGCGCACGCGCAGATGAACGAATCACTCTCTGAGAGGACTCGTAGTTCCCGAGTCATATTGAAGATTCGTTCAAAATGAACGAATAGTTCATGAACGAGCCATCACTATTCCCCCTCGTTTTGCTCATTCCCGTGAAGGGGGAAGGGGTGTTCCGATTATCTTTATCTTGAAGGCGTAGGGCTAAGGGGAAGGGGTAGATACCCCTTCAAACAGAGATTTTTCAGCACCACACTCAAAATCAAGGGGTAGCTAATATTTAAAAGTAGAAAAAGAATTCAAAGGGGGGCTAATAATTCTGACGTCAACTGTATATCCACAGTGTTCTTCATATTTCCACATGCTCAGACACTGTGGTAATTTACGTTCGCTGCAGTGTTTTCCAGACTCCATAAATGAATCTCTGTTAAACTGATGTCTGAGAAGATGTCCTGGGAGTCCCAGTGTTTACTTTGGGTGGTCCTGTCGTAACGGAGCTTTCTGTCAGAACATTACCTATTCCTCATTCTCCGTCTCTCCCGGCACTCAGAACCAACTTTGAAGCTGGTGGTGCACATGGTCTCTAGAGTGGTCCGATGGTAATTAGCAAACCTAAATCTACTTCTTCCTCGCGAGATTTAATTTTCTCTTCCCACTGTTGAGGCTGAGTCACAGGCTGCTTTCACACACACACACACACACACACACACACTTTGCATTGTAATATGCTTTCAGTCTCTGTGTGTCAGTCTCGGGCTCAGTGTTGAGACAGGTCGAGGTGATGAGGTTCTACAATTCTGCAGAGGCTCTGTTCGATCCAGTTTATCTGGCTGGTTTAAAGCCAGAAAAGGGCTTTGGTGTTGTTTTGGTCCCCTGCGGTCACAGATCTGTCCCCGTCAGCTGTTTCACTTGTTCACAGCTCTCTGAGAGCTGAAACTGAGATGCTGCAGCCTTTATTTGGAGACAGTGCTTGTAAGCATTATTGCTGTTTGTACTGATGTACCGCCTTAAAAGCGGGTTGGCTGGAAACCTTATTACTGTAAATGCTGACAGTGCTGGAATCGTGACGAGGTGCAAGCCTTTAAATCATTAATGTGTTTTTATTTTGAAAGCGGGTGACAGTGTTGTGCTCAAGTCTGTAGGGTGTAGATCCAGCATAAATAATGGAATACTTGCACACGCATCGCATATGGACTAGTTCTGTCGCAATCAATCTAAGCGTTTCACGCTCCAAGCTGAATTCAGGGATTTATTTTTAAACATTTACATTGGATAACAGTTATTAATAGAACATTTGTGAGTCAGATAATCAGAGTAATGACAATTAAGGGTTCACACCAAGCATGATAACAGTAGCGGTACATATAAAATTCTATAATGATAAAGATAAACGGTATCATTGGGATCAATTTCATCATTTTTTTAGCTTTTAAATGATAAAACACTGAGAATAATTTGAAATATAAATGGAAATATCACACAATTTAAAGGTGCAGATGACAATGTGAAGAAGCACTTCTGTTAAGCCCTTTTTTACATATTATTTAAAGATAATATATCTTGAAAACAATTGGTTAAACCATAGGAAAGGATGATAAAAATATATGGAAGTTTAAGTTAAATTTATTTGAACTGATAAATGTTTTGATTTATGTTTTGTTTGTTATACTTTTAAGGAACTAATTTTATTAAATTGGTATTGAAAAAGTACCGTTTTGCAACCGGTATCGAATTTAAAGTATCAGGATTGGTACCGGTATGCAAGATTTTTAAACAGGATTACAGCAGCTTTAGTAACATTTCAAACAAACATGAAAGACATAAAGAGATATGGGGCCCTATTATACACCTGGCACAATTCGGCGCAAGGCACAATTGTTGTTTGCTAGTTTCAGCTTGGCGCAGGAGTTGTTTTTGACGTTTTGCGCCACGCTGTTTAAATAGCAAATGCATTTGCGCTCATATGTGTGCCCATAGGCGTTCTGGTCTAAAAAAGGAGGTGTGTTAAGGTGCATTGCTGGCGCGTTGATATTTTGGGGAACTTAAATAATCTGTTCAATAGAGCAGCTAAGAGGAGGTCAAAAGTCCAGCACAGAGCGTGTTAGTTGTGCACCTCACTTAAACATTGCTTAATACACACAGGATGTACAGCAATAAACAAATATCTTTAAGTGAAAAAGAATTAAAGGATTAAAATATTACAAAATTATTATTTTCTAGCCTACATAAATATAAAAACCACAGCCGCCATGCCTTCTTCATCTCGTGGGCTTTTTGAGTTCATTCATAACAGTTTGCTTTTGTATAATGTTTTTATTATTAGCAGTATTACTTATTATAAGCATATTTATATTTTTTTTATTAAAAACAAGCTTAGATTTGTCCACCTGTCAGGTTTTTGACCACACTTCCTTATTATTGTTCATTTATTAGTTTGCTGGAAATTAGAACTGAATTTAGAAATAGTTTTGAAACAAATCTTTGCCCTTAATATATGAAATTAATTATGTAGACTAATGGATGTCTGTGCATACAACACATCCACGAGAGGGAAAGTGAAATTAAAGAATGAGGAGGCTCATCTCTCATTCTCGCACTGCAGATGCTCTGTTTAACTGTTTCATTGCTAGTGAAGTGTTCAGTTTTTTTTTTTATTCTCAAAACACACATATAACTCATTAAGAGAATAAGCTCAACCCTGTTAGACCATGCGCCACGGCGCAAAGTGGATTTTCCAGTCCTTAAAATAGCAAAAGTGGATTCGGACACACCTTTAATGACTTTGTGCCCAGATCGTCAAAATAGAGCCCAAAGTGTTTTAATCTTAACCGTATAAAGCCTATTATATCATTTTTGATACGTGAATGACTCAAAGAATGACTTCCAAAATTAACAAAACAATAATTAGCGATCGATACTATGAACATTAGGGGTGTCAAAATTAATTGTTTCTTCGGTGCACCGCGATGCAGACGCGGACAATTCGGTATCGGTTCAGTAATAATCATAACCGGTTATTACTGACGTCATTTACCTCATATGCGCTCTGTCGCGAGGGAGGCGAGTGCGAGTATTTACAACACAGCCAACTCAGCGCTGGCCCGTGGCATAGGCACCATAGGCATATGCTAAAGGCACTGTACATCCAGGGGGACACCAGAAATGAGCGCGGTTAAGATGGTTTTGTTTTCGATATTCCTGACACACATTCAGTTAACGTTATAGACGGCAATAACTCAAAAACCTCTTACCCTAAAAAGATCTAAAGTGTGTTTCCTACAAAAAGACAAAGCTGGTTATGTTTCACAGCTGTCTTTCTTTTTTTTGCTTGACATTAAGAGCACTGCTCCGTTTAAGCCTTCGCAATATGTGTTTAGCCGGGAGAGCTCGCGCTGAGAGGAGCTCTCAGTAAGGGACCGTCAGAAAAGTGCTTCTTTTTTAAATTTTTTTCGATTTTCTGCTCCGCTCAGCGCGAGCTCTCACTGTTGCGAGGTCTTAAGTGTGTGTGTGTGTGTGTTTGTTTGTTTGGTGCTGTCTATGTTTGTGTATGTGTGTGAATGAGAGACAGTGTGGTGCTTTGTGTCTGTGTGTTTATACAGACAGCATGTTATAGCCTCCCCCTTAAAATATAACGTTGTATATGGAAAGCATCATCAATGCACCGTGATGCACCGAGATATCGAATTGAACTGAATCAAAGGCATGATAATCGTAACCAGTATAGGTTCACAGCTCTAATCAACATAGCCTTGTTCATATAGGTTTTGTCTGAATATGCATTGTGATAACGTCACATGTCGGATCTAAAGTGATTCACACACCTAAAGAAAACGTGCAGCACTGTGTAGTGTCTATGAAAACTCAAGGTGTTGCACACCAAATGACCACTTTCTAATTGCAAATATAGTGTTATTAGATATTAAACAATGCAGATGGCATGGAAGGAATTTGTAAAGTGCTCTGGCTAGCCAAAATTGCAAGCCTCTCTAAATTTTGCGTTGTTTACTTGATTTTGCATTACATTCAGTGACTGCAGGATCACAAAACATGCCTATTTTTAAATTCATTTTGGTCATGAAATTCAGGTTTTTAGTCGACAAAAGTCAGTAAAAAGTCAGCAAAGTAGAAACCCTACTGCAGTTATTCTGTTTACCTCCTTATCAGTTGACATCATGCTTAATGTTCCTATCTTAATTGTGTCTGCAGAGTGTGGACACGGTGTGTTCGCTGTACCACTCCTACCAGGAAGGCTCTGGAGGTCTGATGGAGAGCCAGGAGGAGCAAACGGGGCCTGAACCCGCTATCCTCAGGCCCTGTCCGCGTCATATGTCTGCCACAGAGAGACTACGCAAGGTCATCCAGGAATTAGTGGATACAGAGAAATCCTACGTAAAGGTGAGAACCGACTCCATAATCCCCTATTAACATCGTTCAACAGAGCGAAGTGAGCAGTCATGGCGAGTAGAGCTCCGTGTTGTTGCCCAACCCCAGACTTCATTAAAACTGAACGACTTGACCTTTTCGTCTTGACCAAAAAAGTCACGTCAGCAGCGCTTTAAAGCTGGATTTAATGATAGAAACGTGAGGTGAAATGGTTTGACGGATAGCTGCTGGAAGATTCCTCATGGAGTCCCGAAGGATCAGCTATTAATTAACTCCTCTAGACGGTGAAAAGCAGACGCCTCCCCTCTCATCTGTTTCCTGAAGATTCCCCAGGCTTGCATATGATTGTTTATGCGGTGCTGGTTTTATTCTGACGGTGTTCATAGTGAGCCTTTAAAACCGTGCTGTCATAATGCGTTCCTGGTGGTTAATAGTTGTCAGGGATGCATCTGATTATTCTGTGATTTGTGGGAGGGAGAGAAGCAACATCCCAGAGTCCCGCACTGGAGCCATTTGTCTGTGATATGCTGCGTCGGCACTGGCAGACGCCTATAAATCAGCCTAATGAGAATATTCAGGTTGATGCGCAGACAGCCTACCAATGCCGTAACATGGACAGAGCATGCAGTGCAGGTTTGGGAGCTGTCAGGGGACGGCTTTAGCTGTTTAAACCTACCTGCAACAGGACATACTTTGATTAATTGCTTTGCTTCAAATAGGTTTTTTATGTTCAAGCCAAATTTTTGGAGTTTCTGAAAAAGAATAGTGCAAGTTATTTAGCGCGTGTCTGGTGGCATGTTTAGACAACACAATGTAGGTACAGTAAAACCCAATCCCAATTCTACCCCTTAGCCCTTACCCTTACCCCTACCCCTTGTTTTGCGCGTTCCTGTCAAGGGGTAGGGATGTCCCAATTCTCTTTACCTTGAAGGCGTAGGGCACAGGTGTCAAACTCAGTTCCAAAAGGGCCGCAGCTCTGCACAGTTTAGTTCCAACCCTAATTAAACACACCTGATCAAACTAATTGAGTCCTTCAGGCTTGTTTGAAACCTACAGGTAAGTGTGTTGGAGCAGGGTTGGAACTAAACTGTGCAGGGCTTCGGCCCTCCAGGAATTGAGTTTGACACTCCTGGCGTAGGGGTAAGGGGTAAATACCCCTTCGAATTAAAGATTTTTCAGGACCACACTCGAAACCAAAGGGTAAGAAAATTTCCCAGAATACGCCAGCCACAACGGCAGTATAGCTGAACCCGGAAGTAAGGAGATCCACAAATTAGTATTTTTTGTTATTATTACAAATTTTTTACAACAAACAAGCACTTGTTTTAATACATTCATAACCGCGTTCATGTTTTACCGTCATTCTTTAAAACAAAAAACCCTAAAATAAAAAAACACTTTTATTGTTTGTAGTATATTTTATTAGTTGTAATATAGTTGTAATATTTTATTAGTTGTAATATAGTTGTAATATTTTATTAGTTGTAATATAGTTGTAATATTTTATTAGTTGTAATATAGTTGTAATATTTTATTAGTTGTAATATAGTTGTAATATTTTATTAGTTGTAATATAGTTGTAATATTTTATTAGTTGTAATATAGTTGTAATATTTTATTAGTTGTAATATAGTTGTAATATTTTATTAGTTGTTATATAATTAACTTTCTGCAGAAGTAGTTGGTGTAGCACTTGTGATTTATTATTATTGTCAGTTATCATTACTGTTGTCCTTTCTTTCTTTTTACTTTCATTTTTACTATCATACATTAATAAGCATTGTTGTTACTCCCTACCTCTGACTGGTTTCTTTCTATATGTTTTCTTTATATCTGTGACACTTGCTTCATTTATTGACTGTTATTGTTCCTTATGTATGTACTCTGACCTGTCCACCAAGTTACCTTTACATGCATACACACACACACACACGCACACTCACGCACATACCAGTACCTGACTATATTGTTGTTGTTTTTGTTTTGTCTTTGTTTTGTTGCTTTGTATTTAATATTTGTTGATGTTTTCTTGTATTTGTATGATTTTTGCATATTCTAATAAAAATAAATAAATAAATAAATTTATTAATAAATAAATAAATAAATAAAATAAAAACCACTAAATTTTGCTATCTATAATCCACAATAATAACTCTTGTACAGTGGTCCCACAACATTCTGACACTCAGTGTAACTCGAATACCCTGTCAGTATTGTCTATTGGCTGGAAATGAGCTTTTTACAGTGTCTGCTGTGTGGGTGCGAAGAATGAACTGACAAACCTATTTTACAAACATTATTTGAAGCTCGTCTACCAGCCAAAAATTTTAATTCTGTTATTAATTACATGGTTTCCGCTACATTCATTCTTCTGTGGTGGGACGCCACACCAAAATTCATCCGGCCACGGCTACATTACAGCTTCTTATTCAAAATATTCAGTCATTTTTTAAATAGCGGGTTAAAATCGCACCGAAAATGTATGAAAAGGTAAGTGAATAATAGCAGCACAAACTTTTCTGTGACCGTAGCAGTGCTGTGCGTTCTGTTTAACCTTTTAAGGTGACGTGCTGACTGACTGACTGACAGGTGCGTGATGTGTGAGACCAGCAAACACGGCGTAGCTTTCAGTTATGATAAACAGTTTCCAAACGTATACTTTATTAATAGCTAAAGGTCTGTGGCTCTGCATATAATGACTTTATCTTGCTGGAGTTTATAGCCGTTTCACTTTACTTCAGGATGCATTAATGCCGCGGTCCGCTCCGCAAGTCTATCAGAGACATTCATAAATATTCCTAGCAAATCTAATAAATGTTGGAGACATACTCGCTACATAAACGCACTAAATCACACTTCAGCCGCGTTTATTTGAGGGCGCGCAAGAAAATCTGCATTTGATCAGCGTATATTTAAGGGCGCGCAAGAAGTTTTGTGCACGAGCAGAGGAAATCGGCGCTCAAGCAGAGATTGAAATGCTTGTCGGCTATTACATAAATGCCATCTCGACTGAATACTGCGCCCATGACATTTGTCAATGAAATAACGCCACATGTAGTGGTAGATCTGTGTAAAATGGCAGACAGAGTCTGCCGCCACAGCTGGAAAAAAATCCTAGAGGAAACACTGAATTACTCATATTCGTGTCGTTCCAATCCCCAGAGATCGTCATTCATTTTCATACCTGCCAACATTTCTACTAATACGACTGACGTTGCTATTACCACCCCTCAAATCCCACCCTCACAGAAATCAACAGCACATCTGGGTTCTATCATATGTTGCCAGATTGAGTAAAAACGCTTTGAGATTTTAATATTTCGTCAATTGTGTGAGGTGAAAAACTTCATACAAAGATCTTGCCAAACATGAACAAAAAGGTTTTTTTGAAACTATATCGGGCCATACAAATTACGGGAGAGAGAAATAATAAAATGGGAGGGTGGCAGGAGATGAGTGTGAAATAATCAATACTATCTCACAGCAATTTGTAACTTTTTGATTTAGTGACTTATTCGTATGAATTCGTATGATTTCAGTCATACAATTTAGTACGATCTCCCAATGATGGTTGGGTTTAGGGGTTGGGTTGGGTGCCATGCCTCTTTTAATCGAAAACCGTTCATTTTCATACAACTGAACTCGTACGAATTCAGACGAATTAGCCACCTAACTGACAAAATGTAAAATAGTTTTTTAAAAAATTATAATAAATTATTAAATAATAAAATAAAATATAAATATAATAAAATAAAATATAAAAATATTATTTAGCTTTTTATTTGTATAGCGCTTTACAATGTAGATTAATAAAATATAATTAAATAATTTGTTACTAATAATTTCCTCATGAGATAGGGTGGAAATACGAGAAACTCCTGAGAAAAATGAGTCTTGGGTGGTCATTTTTGGAATACATATCTAGATATTTTAGTTAGTCCCAGCTCGAGGTCCTTTGTCAATCCTTCCCCTCTCTTTCCTGTCTGTACTCGTCATTGTCCTGTCCATTAAAGAGCTCCTAAAATGTATTTTTGAAAATGACCTTCTATGCAGTGTGTAACACAGCTCTAGTGAATAAAAACATCCAGCTCAAGTTTAAATCTGAAAGTGCACCTTGTTTAAAATTATCAATTTTTAATAAAATATTCAACTCAGAGTTGTTTAAATGATTTGTCTGGATCTTTTGTCTGTTCGCACTGACTTCAACACGAAACAATACCAAATATGGCGGATCCGGTAAAACGTGAATGCGCCTTTCCCTTCAAACACTAGCAGAGAACGGGTGTGTGTGGGATTGATCATGACTGAAGATGAGTAAACACTATTGAGTGAACGTTCTGCTGATTAATGCAATAATTCACTAATGATGCATCAGCTGTTTGTTAAAGGAAGTATCAGAAAAGACTATTGATGTATGGAACTTTGTCGGTAATGTTACACAGTTCAGGGATCAGTTTCTTCCTCTATTTTTCAAGTGTACGTTAGTGTGATTAAAATGGTTGGCCTCCTAGTCTTCTCTAGCTTGCAAAACATGTATTTAATTGTGTTTTGTTACTTGTAACCGCTCCACGTGGCTTGTACTGTATCTGGTTAACTCTTTACGTTCACATATCGCGTCCAAAGCCTTGTTGAAAACGTGATGCATGCCGATTAGTTATCGATATAAATGCATTTGTGAGCTAAAAATAGTTCAGCTTTTGCCACTGTGTGCATTAATACTGAATTTGTGTCATTGTTTTATCTTATGATGAAGAATAGAGCAGTATGCTGCTGTTTAACTGCATTGCTTTAATGCACTCCTCCATTGGGCTCACACATACACTCTGCACTGACTATTTCAACCATGCGGACGTTTGTCTTTGTCTTGTATCAGTAAATCTTTATCATAAGTAAAAACAATGACACACTTTTAGTATTAATGCACACAGTGGCAAAAGCTGAACTATTTTAAGCTCACAAATGCATTTATATCGATAACTAATCGGCATGCATCACGTTTTCAACAAGGCTTTGGACGCGATATGTGAACGTAAAGAGTTAACCAGATACAGTACAAGCCACGTGGAGCGGTTACAACTAACAAAACACAACTAAATACATGTTTTGCAAGCTAGAGAAGACAAGGAGGCCAACCATTTTAATCACACTAACTTACACTTGAAAAATAGAGTCAAATGACGCTGTAAGGATCCAAAATATCAGACCATAAGAACTGTTATGGAATTTCATAAGACAAGATGCAATGTTCCAATGCATTTTCTAATCTGAGAAGTGATGAAGAAACCAACTGTTTCACTGTTCTATTCAAATCACTGTTGACAATGCAAACACAGGCTGGAGAAACAGAGCTACTCTACAGCAGGGGGTAATGCGAAGAAGTCACCCTTCTCCTTCCACTTAAACCCCCCTTCTTGATCCTTATGTTACCTTCTGATTAGAGCACATTTCACATAAAATGTTCAAGGTTTTAATATGGTGTATCTTGCAGCACTATATTCATGTTTGGTATCATTTTAAATGTCCCTGTGTGATTGGTAAAGTGGTCTTAATTTTACAGTAATATTTCACTGGTATATGTTGATTTGGTTTTTGACTTCTATAAGATCTTGATAAGATGCTCTCCCTCCTAAGAGATGGTTAAGTCCTCAAATTGACCAGGCCAGGGTTTCTGTGACACTTCTATTGTCTTGAATTTATGGCTGTTTGTTTTGACTTGAGTATATAAGGTAAGATGTGCTTTAGGACGGGGGGAGATCTTGTAAAAAGACACCCCATTGCAGCATCTCTGAGACTTATGCTGCAATGTATTTCTGTGGTCAGGTATGCATCTCTAACTCTTTGATTTATCTTTGATTAATGGATGTTATATTGTTAGTCTCATCTCTGAATTGGCTTCCTGATGATTTATTATGTAATTGGCAGAATACAATTTTACCTGACAAATAAAATGTTAAGTTTTGATTAATTCTGGAGTTTTGCGAATTCATTGTATCCAGTAGATTATGTGGAGTCTCGTTGCCCTTATCGTACGGCATAATCGAAATTGATTAATTGGCGCATTTGATTATTCGTAGCCATTGCGTGCCGATAACATGTAGACCTTTTAATCATTCGACCACTGGGAATAGCAAGTTGCACGGGCTTGGCTAAAATCTGTTTATTTAGGAAATTAGGTGAGCGTTAATGCAACCAGCCTATCTAAATATTAGTTAATCCTGCATCCTCTGACTATTTTCAGAGTGCCGACATATTGTCCGTGAGAAGAAACGCAAACCCGGAGCGTGGAACTCTGAGCGACGTAGGTCCCTAATGAACGTACAATTTAAAACAGTAGTTCTCAAACTTTTTTCCTCAAGTACCACCTCAGAAAAAAATTGTCTCTCCAAGTACCACCAAAATGAGCAGTATTGAAATACAATAGCGTAGTAGACCCAGTAAAGCAGCTACACCTCTGCACACTTAAAAAACGTGGTAGATTACCTCAGAAATATAGGCTATATGTCATATATGGCATATTAAATAGATCATTTTTGAAAAAAATTTTAATATGTGTAGCATGTACATGACGTATTTCATTCCTCCGAGTACCACTAGAAGGAGGCCTGTGTACCACTAATAGTACACGTACCACAGTTTGAGAACCACTGATTTAGAATATCGGACCTCAGAAAATATCAAAACTCCAAATTAAATCATAAATGATGAACGTGATCCGTTCTTACAATTAGAAATATAATTTAAATTTTAGGATCATTGAAATTAGAGTCAGATTGAATTCGGAGCTAAAAAACTAATATAAATACATTCTAATAAATAATAAAATTCTTTTCAGAAGCACTAGAAAAGGCTTACATGCATTAAACCTTCGACCATGCTGTTAGTTTCGTCATTGAGCTAATAGATGGACTCCTACAACGCCAAAATCAAAATATGACCTTCTATAATGTATAATAGGGGCTCTATAAAGGTGAAAACTCTTACTGCAAGAGAGATCTCATCATAAACCCTTTATTTATCTGCTGGCTGAAATCTAAACCATATGGAGGTGGATGATCATATTGTTCTCTGTTTCCTCCACACAGGACCTCAACTGCTTGTTTGAAATCTACCTGAAGCCCCTGCAAAAGGAGACCTTTCTCACTCAAGATGAGGTAAAGCCCCATATAGAGCTGCTTTTAAGAGGTCTGTGTTGGATTGCGCTGTCACAGTTATTCATAGCAGTAAGAAATCTGGGCTCATTGGCCGTAGATTGTGTGTTCTGACATTCCCCTCTACTGTGACTGATACTAAAGACTCGCCAGATTCCAGACTGCTGCCTAGTGAACTACAGATGACCCTGACGTGGCTCAGGATATCCCAGAGGAAAGATCTGTCAATATGTGCTGAGGACCGGGCCATATTAAAGCCCTGTTAATGGACACTAGAGCATGGCCTTGCACAAATTACACAAGGACTCAACATAAAGTGGCTTTAACGCTGCTTCTTAAGTAACTAGTGACAATGCGGGCGGCAATAAACATTTAGCAACAGGTCGGCAATAAAAGGAGTCTATGCTAGCACTGTTGAAATGCATTTAAAGAGACAGTTCATTCAAAAATGTCATCATTTACTCATCCTTCACTCGTCTCAAACCTTTATGGCAGAGGTGTCGAACTCATTTTAGCTCAGGGGCCACATGGAGGAAAATCTATTCCCAAGTGGGCCAAATCACGGTGTATATATAACTTAAAGGGCCATGAAACCCTCTCGTTTCAGCAGGGTGTTTTCACACCTCTACTTTGGAAAAAGTCAGAAAAGTGGGCGTGTCCAGCTCTGTTTAGGGGGGAGTGTCGGAGGAACTAAAGAGGCTTGGTGTGGGAGTGTCTATTTGGGCGCGCTGAATTTCAGAGTCAAAACACACAACCACAGCGGACAATGTGACTGTGTTTACATGGACATCTGTAGTCGAATTATTTGCCATATTATTAAATGGTGGACTTTAACTGCAGTTTGGCTCTTTCATTCAGGGAATTCATTCATGTCCCTCCCGACAAACGTAATATTTGATTAGAGGAGCTGCTCTAAGCGTGTATTTTTCATGCAATGTTTGATACCGCACGGCGAATGAGAGAAAAAAACCTCAGCATTTCCCAGAAACTTAGATGCACACGGCAGGTAGCGTCAGAAAGCCACGTGTGTTATTCCGGTCACAAAATCCAACACGAGGTTATAGTTTGGTTGTAACTGTTAGTGCTAACTTGTTTACACTCGGTGCAATAGTTTGTTTGATACGAATAAAATACGAACTGAATAAACAAAGAGCACTGGTCGCTCACTTACCAAATCTGTAGAGACAGAACAATCACCAGCAACTAGAACCGCGTCTTTATTAAGAGGAGACTAAAGCGAATCCGGATCTCAGCGTTTGCAGATGAGAACAGCTCTCAGGTAAACAATAATCCTCCTTAGACACGCAAGTTATTGTTGTCGCGCGTCGCGTACACTGTTAATCCACACGTGACTCTGAGCTCTCACAGAGAGAAAATGAAAACAAAACTTAACTGCAGCAAACTATAAAAGCAACACTTCACGCTTGTTTTGCCAACACAACGTGTCGTCTCTGCCGTCTACACTCTGACAGCAATGAATATTAATGAAGTTGCACAATAGAGCGCGCTGATTGGTTTGAACCAAGCCTTACTCATGCATTAATGCAACACACTGTAAGACGTAATAAGACACACTCTGGCACAGACGTCCAGTTTGCACGCTGTAATACACGCTATTTTGTCATAGCCGTGACGCAGCTTCAAAAATTCGTTTCAAACCGGAAGTACGAATTTGCTTGAAATAACGCAAAAACAACCAATTTACACTTTTTAGTGAAATATAGGTGTCCTAATAGTGTTTTTAGCAGTGTGGGACACATATACGACTGTCAAAAAAAAAATTTCACGTGCACAAAATAAAAATACGTATTTTAGAAACGTATTTTATGAAAACGTATTTTTATTTTGTGCACGTGAAATTTTTTTGTGAATATAAATAAATATTTTACGCACGTGAGTTTGGTTTTATGGACGTGAATTTGGCTACGCATGTGTACATCGTGTCTTTTGCGTGAATTATTATTGAGTCTATTCTGACTCCATATTAAAGTGTTGTAATACTGAATTGTACACTTTTTTGACATTGGCGTTGGTCAACACTTCAAAAAGTAACAGATTTGTACGTTTGTATTAAGTGTGGTTTTCTCCTCCTAGATGGAAAGCCTATTTGGCAGCCTTCCAGAGATGCTGGACTTCCAGAAAGTTTTCCTGCAGACCCTGGAAGAGAAGATTAGTTCCTCCCCCAACTTCAACACGTTCGAGACCCCTGTCCAATTCAAGGTGCGCATACTAAATGGTTTTATTTATTGTCAGTTGTGACCCTGAACCACAAATCCACTCTTATGTTGCACTGGTATATTTGGGCAATACCCCAAAGTACATTGCATGGGGAAAAATGATTAATTTTACTTTTGTGTCAAACATTATTAGAATATGAGGTGCAGATCATGCTTCAGGTAGACATTTTGAATATATCCTACAATAAATTGATCAAAACTCACTTTGTGCGTAGCATTATGCATTGCTGAGAACTTAAAATGTGATTTTCTATGAATTTAGATAGTTTTGAACCCTCAGAAATTCAAATAGTAATGTCTCGGCCAGGGGCGAGGCAGTCGCGCAGTGGGTAGCACGTTCGCCTCACAGCAAGAAGGTTGCTGGGTCGCTGGTTCGAACCTCGACTCAGTTGGCGTTTCTGTGTGGAGTTTGCATGTTCTCCCTGCCTTCGCGTGGGTTTCCTCCGGGTGCTCCGGTTTCCCCCACAGTCCAAAGACATGCGGTACAGGGGAATTGGGTAGGCTAAATTGTCCGTAGTGTATGAATGTGTGTGTGTGGATGTTTCCCAGAGATGGGTTGCGGCTGGAAGGGCATCCGCTGCATAAAAACTTGCTGGATAAGTTGGCGGTTCATTCCGCTGTGGCGATCCCGGATAAGGGACTAAGCCGACAAGAAAATTAATGAATGAAAAATGAATGTCTCGGCCAGATATTTTCCTTATCTAACAAAGCACACATCAATGGGAAACTTATTTAAATCACTTTTTCACAGTTTCAATTGACTGGAACTTTATCTACGTTTAGCTGCTTTGACACAATCTACATTGTAAAAGCTCTTTAGAAATAAGGATTATATTGAATTGAACTTATGACTTGTTTTGTGGTCCAGGGTCACAAATATTAATATTTATATATTCCACCAGTTTTTTTCAAGCAATTGATCACTCCAAAATTACAATTATGTCCTTTTTTACGATGCGGGAAATAAGTATTGAACACGCCTTGTTTATTTATTTTTTTGTTTTTTTGTAAATAATTTTTCTAAAGGAGCTGTTGACATGGAGTTGAAGCAGAATTTGGTAAAAACCCAAACAATGCAAACAGAAGAATAAAACAGAACTAAAAAAATCTGAAAAATTGTTCTGTGTAAATATAACAATGACATGACGAAAGGTGAAAGAGCTGAACTATTGTAATTATTTATAAGGCTGTTTTTGGTGAAGCAGCTTAAAGACGCCTCTCATATGGAGAACTAAGTCACATGTTTGTCACAGACTTCAACAGAGTGGTCAAATCTTGATGGTTCTGTGGGTCTCGTCTTTCAAACCTGAGCATTATTTTGTATATTCTATTGGATTCGGGTCAGGTGATTGGCTTGGCCATTCCACAGCTTGATTTTCTTTCTCTGAAAGCATTTGAGAGTTTCCTTGGCTGTGTTTTGGATCATTATCTTGCTGAAATGTCCACCCATTATCTTGATGATGTAGATGTTGGACTGAACAGCTAATATTGAGTTACACTGATGAAGGGCAGAGGGCTGCTGAAGAACTACTGAGAGATTTCAGCTGCTGACTGGGCTTTTACTGCCTTTCCACACTTCCCTTTCTTCATGTGTTCAATACTTTTAATGTCATTTTATTACACGGAACTTCATTTGAGAGCTAGTTTTGCGTATCGCTTTGGCTGTCATCAACATCTAGTGAAAATGTCAACTCAACAGCACCTTTAGAAATGTTTTCTAAGAAAAATGGTGACTAATTTTCTTCCAGGAAACACAAAATGAGGTGTTTTCATGAGATGTTGCTTCTGTATTTTAAGAGGATGTTGTGATTAGAGTCTCCAAAAAAAGATAATTAATTAATCAATAAAGAAAAATTGATTTGAATCACTAATAATGGCAATTGTTGTTATTAATAATGAAAAATAAAATAAAACCTCATACAAATAACAAAATTAATTAAGTTAAAATTTGACTTCTAAACCTGAAAGCTAGTTTTAATATGAATGAAATAGTGTTAGAGTGTAAACAATAAAATATAAACAAACCAAAAAAGATTTCACATGCCAAGTTTGAATATGTGCAAATTTTAGTTTGATTTCTGCACTGGCTGAGGGCAGGATATTTGGTTAATTACAGCTTATGAAAAAAAAACAAATCAAATGTAAGTAATTTGTGTGCATTTCAGAGCCTTGTATTTGTTGTATATATTATGGAAAAGGTCAGCTCAGATATGTTCTCTGAAGATATGTAAATTTGAGCTCTGTGAAATAAACTTAAACAGGATTTTGGATGTAAGTAACTGATGAAATGTTTAGTGTGAATTGTAGCTTGTAGAGATTCTGACTCATGGTGAATCATCGCTGTCGCTCCATCTTTTGCTTTTTTTTTTCTCCAGAAGCTGCTCTTCTCTCTGGGTGGCTCATTTCTGTATTATGCGGAGCACTTCAAACTGTACAGCGGCTTCTGCGCCAACCATATTAAAGTGCAGAAGGTTCTGGAACGAGGTACAGCACATAACTCCCTTCACATTGTAGAGCAGCTAAATATTACAAGGTTACTAATAATGTTGAGGGGCGAACCAGTGGGGCAGTAGGTAGTGCTGCCGCCTCACAGCAAGAAGGTTGCTGGTTCGATCCTCGGCTCAGTTGACGTTTCTGTGGGGAGTTTGCATGTTCTCCCTGCGTTCGTGTGGGTTTCCTCCGGATGCTCCGGTTTCCCCCACAGTCCAAAGACATGTGGTACAGGTGAATTGGGTAGGCTAAATTGTCCGTAGTGTATGAGTGTGTGTGTGGATGTTTCCCAGAGATGGGCTGCGGCTGTCTTCCGGTAGCATTAAAGCCATGTGTTATAGTCATGTAATAGGAGCTTGATGAATAAGGGAAGGATAAGCAAAAGCCCCTTTCACAATTACCGGCAATTTTCCGGAAAGGTCTGTCCTTTCAAGTCCTTTTTGTAAATGCCGGTAAATTCGTTCTGGCTATTTTCCGGAAAGAGAAGTTGTAACATTACCGGTAATTTGCCGGAATGCTGCGCTGTGTGAATGCCGAAGGAAGATTGCCGGAAAGAGCGTGTGTACGTCTAGAACGTGCTGATGTGAGACGTCTGCTTTAGCCAATCAGAAAAGTCAGACGCGTTGATGTCCGCACGGTTTATGAGAATAAAAGCCTTTGAATATTTTTCTAGACACATTTAGCTGCTAGAAGTTAGTCAGATCACGTTTTTATGTTCTTCTTAATGCCAACTGTGTAAATAATCATCTATAAGATGCTTATGATAAGCCGTTGTTTGTTTACCTTTAAGCTTTGCGTGTGCCTGTGAGACAGCCTGTGAGCGCCTGCACACGCACATATTATGAACATCTCGACATGCGAAAGTGATCCTGCGAAAGTTGTTCACAATATTGATCATCCACAGAGTTTGTAATTTAGTCAAATGTTTACAAATACAAGCGCAGCCGTTTAAAGCTCATTTGTGGTGAATGATGTCAGAATTTACCGGTATTTTGGAATGGATGTGTGAATGCTCTTTTCTGGAAAAATTCCGTAACTTTCTCGCCTGTGTGAACAGCGCTTTTTTGAATATACCGGTAAAGTCGTTCGGGAAATTTTCCAGATATTTACCGGTATCACTGTGTGAAAGAGGCTAATGACACAAAAGCCCCAATCAGGTAGCGAATCTTGGCAGCTCCGCCTCTGTTTTCAGATGTCTCCGTTTTCCCTCATCCACACTGAGACAGAGCAGCAGCGTTTCAGAATGAAAACGGCCTCTCTAGCGTTTTCCAAAACGCTCCGCTTTCGGTGCTCGAAAACTCTGGCGTAGTGTGGACGGATGCCGTAACTTATGCGTTTTCAAACTAAAACGCATCAGTGTAAACGGGGCCTAATCCGCTTGTTAAGTGTGACGTCACGCGAAGCGGCTTCCGGATCCAAGCGCTCTATTCAACTGAATGAGGAGATTCATGAAATGGTAATAATAAACGTTTACAAAGCGATTTAATGCTTTCGAAAATCACGATCGCAGTATATATGTCCTTGCCTAATATCCAATTGCCAGAAAGTGATTCATTTTTTTATAAATTGTTAAATTTTTGGTATTTGTTATGCAGCAAGCCCAGAGATTGGTGTGTATATTATGACTTTATATAAAATTAACTTTAATGTGCGATAGGAATAAAACGCGATCATAAACAAATGATTTGTCCACTCAAATGAATGGCGGCTTGGACCCGGAAACAGTATACATACGTCACAAACACGTCACCACTTAACAAGCGGATACTCCCTCACTCACTTTCCTTGGGCTTAATCCCTGCTTTATCAGTGGTCACAACAGCGGAGTGAACTGCAAATTACTCTAGCGTATTTTTAATGCTGCTGATGCCCTTCCAGCACTGAGCGTGCACTAACTCATGAACCCAAACACTGAGGGAGGAACCAGAGAAAACTCACACAAACACAGAGAATATGCTATCTCCACACAGCCGATGACTTCTTGCTATGAGGCGACAGTGCTAACCACTGAGCCACCCCTTAATGTCGCAACAGCAAAAGCTATTGTTGGTTTATCTTTTTCATCATATCCTACAGATGAATTAAAACCTAATTTATGCGGGCACCATTAGCCTGGTGTTCCACTGCAGGCACCCTGCCCAGCTAGAAAGGAATGCGAAGCTGCCCTGCATTCAAAGTGAAGTCTACCTTTTTAATTCATCCCATTAGAAGATGAGGGCAATCTCGGAGCCGCCACACAAGCAGCACTTTAATGGCTATCAAAAACAAACATGCTCTGTTTAACCACTGTGGGGTGAGGACATCAAACGCAGCGCTAGCACAGCGGACGCAACGACGGGAGCGTTAGCGTAGCGTCTGTCAGCGGTGCTTGTAATTATATATTCTCACACACGGCTTCTGTTGTGCCAAGGTTTCCGCTTGCAAAGTGAAAACGACTTTTTGTGTCGACTTGTTAATTGCCTGCCAATTGCTCCCTGAAGTGTCAATCCATCTGGGGCGAGGAGTGCCTCAATTACCGCTCTAATAGCTCCTCTTGATTTGAACGACACCGCAAGTGATAATGTCTCCTTCTGCGTGCTGTGGAGGCGGTGGCTTTTAACTCCTCTCACTGACACACATTTCAGTCAACTGTCACAAGAGTTATGATGTACACTCACCGGCCACTTTATTAGGTACACCTGTCCTACTGCTTGATAATGCAAATGTCTAATCTGCCAATCACATGGAACTCTATGCATTTAAGGCAAGGCAAGGCAAGTTTATTTATATAGCACATTTCATACACAGTGGCAATTCAAAGTGCTTTACATAGAAAAGAAACAAGTAAAATAAAAACAAAATAATAAAAATGACTTTAGGCATGTAGACATGGTCAAGACGATCTGCTGCAGTTCAAACTAAGCATCAGAATGGGGAAGAAAGAGGATTTAAGTGATTTTTAAATGTGGCATGGCTGTTGGTGCCAGACGGGCTGGTCTGAGTATTTCAGAAACTGCTGATCTACTGGGATTTTCACGCACAACCATCTCAAGGGTTTACAGAGAATGGTCTAAAAAAGAGAAAACACAACAGATTGGCATTTTAGATGGGCTACAGCAGCAGAAGACCACACTGGGTGCCACTCCTGTCAGCTAAGAACAGGAAACTGAGGCTACAATTTACACAGACTCACCAAATCTGGACAATTGAAGATTGGAGAAACGTTGCCTGGACTGATGGTTCTCCATTTCTGCTGCGACATTCGGATGGTCGGGCCACAATTTGGTGTCAACAACATGAAAGCATGGACCCATCCTGCCTTGTGTCAACAGTTCAGGCAGATAGTGGTAGTGTAATGGTGTGGGGGATATTTTTTTGCCACACTTTGGGCCCATTAGGACCGATTGAGCATCGTGTCAACCCCACAGCCTACCCGAGTATTGTTGCTGACCATGTCCATCCCTTCATGACCACAGTGTACCCATCTTCTGATGACTATTTCCAGCAGGATGAAGCACCATGTCATAAAGCGTGAATCATCTCAGACTGGTTTCCTGAACATGACGATGAGTTCACTGTTCTCAAATGGCCTCCACAGTCACCAGATCTCAATCCAATAGAGCACCATTGGGATGTGCAATCCAATAGAGCACCATTGGGATGTGGTGGAACGGGAGATTCACATCATGGATGTGCAGCCGACAAATCTGCTGCAACTGTGTGATGCTATCATGTTAATATGAAGCAAAATCTCTGTGGAATATTTCCAGTACCTTGTTGAATCCATGTCACAAAGGATTAAGGCAGTTTTGAAGGCAAAAGGGGGTCCAACCCAGAACTAGTAAGGTGTACCTAATAAAGTGGCCGGTGAGTGTAGTTGCTCCACGCTGGTCTTTGTGTTGTTCATTGTCTGCATTTATACCGCAGTGCTTCTAATGAGGTGTCAGGCAGCCTGTGCTGCCTCCTTGTGGATGTATTTCATGCCCTGTCTGCATTGCCTAAAGCCATTTACCTGCAGCAAAAGACTGCTATTTTTGGCTCAGTGGGTGGTGCGGGCATTTATCATTCGTCTTTTCTTTCCAGCTAAAACAGATCGATCTTTTAAAGAGTTCCTCGATGCTAGGAACCCGACCAAGCAGCACTCAACCACGCTAGAGTCCTACCTGATCAAACCAGTGCAGAGAGTGCTGAAATACCCCCTGCTGCTCCGCGAGCTGGTGTCTCTGACGGACACGGACAGTGAGGAGCACTACCACCTCACAGGTACACACACACACACACACAGCAGCAGCTGCTCATTTTACTTACTGTCTACATCAGGGATGGGCACACTCTGTCCTGGGGGGCTGGTGTCCTGCATTGTTTTGCTCCAACTCTAATCAACACTCCTGCTCGTAGCTTTCTAGAGATCTTGAAGGGACTGATTAGAGATGTGTCTGATTAGAGTGGAAGCAAAACTCTGCTTAAGGACCGAGTTTGCCCATCCTGGTCTAAATCACAACAAAATCATCACTTCCTGATTACTAGCGCCAAATATCAACAGTAGAGAGGGAAATTACTGCGGTAGGAGAAGCTGCATCAATCTTTTCTTTATTTATTAAATGACTCTCAGAAGACTATGAATGTGAATTGGAGGTGCTGCTTTCGGAGATAGATCGGAGAAAAACTGTTTTTTGCAAGTTTGTTCTCCGGAATTAATAACAAAAGAAAAAAATAGAGTGGGAGAGTGATGCGGTTAATACAGTTCGGTCTGAACATCCCACTGTTTGGATTTAAAAAAGAGATAGTGAAATGTATAGGTGCAAAATGTTTTAATACTTTTGCCAGTCTGAGTGGCACAGCTAGTAAAACACATGTCATCATGTTTTGACATGTTCGAGCATGAACTCGGTTCGAATCCAGCGTCTGCTGAATTCATTTAATACCTGCTAGATGAACCGGTCTCATACAGCTGCCATTACACAGCTCAGACACTTTGTAGAGAGCAATTTAACACAACTAGGAGTCCTCTAGGATTCGCCAATGGAAATATAACAGGCACGCACAAAAAATGTGCATACGCCAACCATAAAGCTGGCGTGGAGCTGCGCACATTCCCACGTTCAGTTCATTGTTAGTAAATCCAAACGTGAGCGATTCTGAGCGTGAAACCTGGCGTACGCAAAGTTTTTGTGCGTACGCAGCGTTGATACATGAGGCCTCAGATGTTTTACAGTGTGCTCAGCCGGCTGGTTTGGCATACTGGAATTTGTTTGCTAAAAGTGTTTCCATCGTAGTGTATGCGCATCTTTTCTTATCGAATAAAAAGTAAAAAAACTCAGTTTTGCGCATATGATTTTTATTCGTATTTTTTTAAATTCATGAGCATCTTGGCATTTCCATCAACCATTTTTTATGCGCATCTCTAAAATGAGCATAAATGTAGGTGGATGGAAACCTAGCTATTGAGAAGAGGTCGCTTGCCGATTTCTAGAAATCTAATTAATTTTATTTAACTATTAGAATGACCATATTTAATCCATAATCTACTGAAGAACTAAACAGCAGTTAATAGTAACATTGTTGACATGTTAATAATGGGCGACGCAATGGCGCAGTAAGTAGTGCTGTCGCCTTACAGCAAGAAGGTCGAAACTCAGTTAAGTTGGCGTTTCTGTGTGGAGTTTGCATGTTCTCCCTGCGTTCGCGTGGGTTTCCCCCACAGTCCAAAGACATGCGGTACAGGTGAATTGGGTAGGCTAAATTGTCCGTAGTGTGTGTATGTGTATGTCTCCCAGAGGTGGGTTGCGGCTGGAAGGGCATCCGCTGCGTAAAAACGTGCTGAATAAGTTGGCGATTCATTCCGCTGTGGCGACCCCGAATTAATAAAGAGACTAAGCCGACAAGAAAATGAATGAATGTATGTTAATAATAAAAAATAAACATCATGCAAATAAAAAGTCATCAGCCTTTCAATTTTTTATATTTATTTATTTTGCGACCCCTGGGGTGATTACATTATATTAAAGACACAGCAATAGTGTCAGATTCAGCACACTGATTTTATAGCACCAGGCTGAACTTTCGGACACCATCACGACACTCACGTTCATTGTGTGTCTGCTGGTTTGTTTACTTGCGGGAGTTTCATTTGCATTTTCCCGCACGTGAACTCTGACCAATCGAAAAGCAGTTTAGGAAATATGTTCAACAACATCTGGCCAATGAGTGATGTGAATTTTGTCAGATGACTGCATTTTGGTTCTTTTCAGTCCGGACCAAAGCAATCAGTGTGGTGTGAAAACAACCCAAAATCGGCAGAAAACGCAACAACGCATCATTTGTTGCACTTGTTCCCGACCAAATGAACCGAACCACAGATGTATGCTTTTTGGGTTTATTTTGAAACACAAAAGTATAGCTTTGTGTGATTACAGTTGAATCACTGAAGTCACATGGAATGTTTTGCCGATGCTTTTTGGATCATTCTCTTGACTTTGAACATCTTGAGATTGTCTTTGGAGGATAAGGGAGCTCTCGGATTTCATCTAAAATAGCTTAATTTGTGATAGCATGTTGTTTCAGCAGCTCAGTGTGGAAATGTGTCCTTTAAAATTCCTTTTATTGTGTGCTTCCCAATCTGAATTGACTGAAGATGTGTATTTTTGGGTGAACTGAAAGCTTAGGCGTATACTCCAGGTCTCTGCTTACTTTTGTGTTCTTCTTACAGAGGCGCTTAAGGAAATGGAAAAGGTCGCAAGCCATATAAACGAAATGCAGAAGATCTACGAAGACTACGGTGCAGTGTTTGACCAGCTGGTGGCAGAGCAAAGTGGCACAGAGAAAGAGGTACAGCTGTATATACAGTGTGAAAGCACTGGAGTAATACCCTGATTTAACTGGATACGGGCTCGTCATCTGTCACTCTTCTACTTCTCCTGTTAGGTCACAGAGATATCTATGGGACAGTTCCTCATGCATTCCTCTGTGATCTGGCTCAACCCGTTCCCATCGTTGGGCCGTATGAAAAAGGATCCCGAGCTGACTGTTTTTGGTAATGAAACCATTACGTTCGTTCTCATATAATCATATGCCAAAATAAATGTTTTATTCTCTACTTTCTCTGTTGGTCATTTTTAGGTTCATTTTTCAACAAATGCCCATATATTACCTCAAACAAACACCGAATATTAGTTCTTTTGTGATGCGGCACTGATCTTGTACTGTACACTGAGCTTTTTATAGCTTTGTGAAAGCATGTTGGACTGATTTCAGAGAGATTGGCAGCCATTCTGCAGCCTCAAAGCAAAGAATTTTGTCACATGAACACGTGTTGGACTCATAGTATCTCTGATTTGTCTCCTTAGTTTTTAAGAGAGCCGTGATACTGCTGTACCGGGAGAACAACAAGGTGAGGAAGAAGATGGTAAGTGTCTTTTTCATTTGGATCTTTGGTAACACTTTATTTTGATGGTCCATTTGAGTGTTACCGTACGTTCACACCGAAAGTGGCGAGAGCGTCCAAGGTCGCTCTGGCCGCCCTGGCGACAACGCTGTCTGCCTTCAGCTCCTGCGGCGAGAGCGTCAAAACTCGCTACATTGATCTCATATTTAAAGGAGCCGTTGCAGCATATCAGTTACATTCCTGCATAAAACATGTTTCTAGCGTGAAAATGTTGCGCACTTCTTATCAAATTCATACAACAATGAAAAATCAAGTTGCGTGTGGTGTGGCTTTGCTCTATTTATACAATATGTGTCCATATGTCTGAAATAGCAGCAGTACTGTTTTGTACTGTCACATCGCGTGAGATTCCCGCTTTTTAAAGATAAATTTATATAACATTAATGAACATCAGTAACTCGCCAGTAACTTATTTAATGTATGTTCCTGTAGGAAAAAATTGTAAATAATTGGAAATCCGGCAACCGCAATAATCAAACCCTTGGGAACAACTGTGGTCGGAACTAAAGTTCACAGGTCTGTGTTCCCTGAACTGCTATCAATCGATGGACGTCTTCATTCTGATTGCTTGCCGCCGAACCGCGTCATAGCTCATTACCATAAAGTTGACTTCATTTCAACTCTCCTCGACGCTCACGCCGGCTAAGACGCGCCGCGCTGCTCCTCGCCGCCTTTCGCCGCCGGCTCTCATTGAAAATGAATGATTTCCGGCTACTTTGACGCTCTCGCCGCTTTCGGTGTGAACGTACGGTTAGACTGTCTGCTTGATATCTGCTGATACTGCTCCTTCAACAGACTTCATTCATTCATTTTCTTTTCGGCTTAGTCCCTTTATTAATCTGGGGTCGCCACCGCGGAAAGAACCGCCAACTTATCCAGCACGTTTTATGCAGCGGATGCCCTTCCAGCTGCAACCCATCTCTGGGAAACATTCATACACACACATACACTACAGACAATTTAGCCTACCCAATTCACCTATAGCACATGTCTTTGGGGAAACCAGAGCACCAGGAGGTAACCCACACGAACAAGGGGAGAACATGCAAACTCCACACAGAAACGCCAACTGAGCCAGCCGAGGCTGGACCCTAGACATTTAACTGACTATAAGAACTTACACTAACCCTAATCTCAACCTCAACCTTAATTCAGCAAGCGGACCATCAATAATAAAGTGCGACCACATCTGTTTACTCGAGCAGTTCCTTAAAGGAGTTCCACTCCACTTTTTTTTGGGAAATAGGCTCATTTTACAAGTCTCCTAGAGTTAAATAGCTGAGTTTTACCATTATGGAATTCATTCAGCTTATCTTCGGCTCTGGTGGGAGCCTGAATCTTTGAATGAATCGGAGTGCTTTGATTACATGACTACTTTGAAAATCATGCAGTCTGAACTCGGCATTAGACCATTAGCATCTCGCTCAAAAGCCAGTTATGCCGAGTTCAGACTGCATGATTCTTAAAGTAGTCGTGTCATGGATGTTTTATGTTTTTTGTGTTTTTTATATATATATATATATATATATATATATATATATGTATATGTATATATATATATATATATATATATATATATGTATATATATGTATATATATATATATATATATATATATATATATATATATATATATATATATATATATATATATATATACACACATACATATACATGCCAGGGGGTAAGCATAAATCAAATATAAATATACATATGTAATAATCAAATAACTACATTGTAGAGTTCAAAAAGTTTTAACGTGCGTAGGGCTTTCTTATTTAGAGAGTCTCTGATACTACTAATATATAAGCATAATTCCGTCATCAACACCTTATAGTTGGGTTTCTTAATGGTAAATTTACATTTATAATTGTAAAATTTTGTTAGCAATTAATAAATTGATTAAATAAAAACATTTTTCCTCTTGAATAGGGTACATAGAAATGCCAAAAAGTACATGTTCCCACAACAATGATAGAGGTTTAGAACACTGTAATTTGAGGGCGAGGCAGTAGCGCAGTATGGAGTGCTGTCGCCTCACAGCAAGAAGGTCACTGGGTCGCTGGTTCGAACCTCTGCTCAGTTGGTGTTTCAGTGTGGAGTTTGCATGTTCTTCCTGCATTCACGTGGGTTTCCTCCGGGTGCTCCGGTTTCCCCCACAGTCCAAAGACATGCGGTACAGGTGAATTGGGTAGGCTAAATTGTCCGTAGTGTATGAGTGTGTGCGTGAATGTGTGTTTCCCAGAGATGGGTTGCGGCTGGAAGGGCATCCGCTGCGTAAAAAACTTGCTGGATAAGTTGGTGGTTCATTCTGCTGTGGCGACCCCAGATTAATAAAGGGTCGACAAGAAAATGAATGAATGAACACTGTAATTTGTTATTAATAAATTTTTGCACCTCACTCCATAAGTTGACTGAGTATGCACAGTGCCAAAATAGGTGTAAAGTGTGTCATTCTTCTTATACTATATGTGAAGCACCACCATGTCGAAATGAATTGCCCCAAGGGGATTAATAAAGTTTTAAAATAAACTTATTACTCACATGCACGAGCACCAATTTGCCAGCGATTTCTCAAAAACTGTCGGCGAGTCAAAATCAGGGCTAAAATCATGCAGTCTGGACTCGGCATTACACTCATATATAAAACTCGACTATTCTGTGGTTAAATTGTGTACTAGGACGGACATAAAATTAAACGTTGCGATTTTCTAGGAGGTCGATATTACTTGGAACTATACTTACATTGTTGTGTAATAATCAAGGAACTTTTCTGCCGTACTATAACAACAGCATTGTAATAATTATTGAAATAAAATGTGTTTAAAGATCCATAAATGGTGTCAATATTTTGTTTGGAAGGTGACTTCAAGATCAGCCCACGGAGATCAGGATTCATTCAAGTTTCGCTGGCTCATTCCCCTGTCAGCGCTACAGGTCAGACTGGGCAACACTGCAGGTAAGAGACGCATCTGGCATGTTTGAGTTTATAGAGATGCTAGTAATCAACAGGTGTAAATAAATCTTTGCTTTTCGATGTTGCCTGAAGACACAGACTGCCTCTGGGAGCTGATTCACACCAAATCACAAAAGGAGGGCAGGCCTGAGACGGTGTTCCAGTTGTGCAGCAGGTAGGAGTTACCTACTTGGTCTTTTCAAAAATGAAGTGTCCCATTTTATTCCATATAGAGCTTACCATTTTTTATGTTGTGTCATTTGCAGCACACCAGAGTGCAAAGTGAATATCATCAAGGTGATGCGCTCCATCTTGCGGGAGAACCTGCGTCGAAACATGCAAAGGGTTGAACAGTCTGAGAGAACCTGTAAAAAGCGGCTTACTCCCCTTCGGAAAAGCCTGCCAGCTTCGGCTAGGATAGGTCAGTGTGGTCTTCCCTTTACTTGCACATCTGATACTCTTGAAGCTGTGGTCAAGAAAGCCATAACCTGACTTTAACAGCAAAACATGTTAAACTTCATAGCAATCAACTGACTTTACAAAACCACACACTGGATCTCTATATCCACCAAACAAAACAGATGTTGCATTTCAGCTCTGATGTAATTGAGAATGTTGTTTCAACTTCAGTTTATTATTGTGGAAAAATCAATTTTAGCTTTTTGTATCAGGTTGTTGAAAACGTAAATATACTCAGCGGCCACTTTATTAGGTACACCTTACTAGTTCTGGGATGGACTTCCTTTTGCCTTCAGAACTGCCTTAATCCTTCGGGCATATATTCAACAAGGTACTGGAAATATTCCTCAGAGATGTTGCTCCATATTGACATGATAGCATCACACAGTTGCTGTAGATTTGTCGGCTGCACATCCATGATGTGAATCTCCCGTTCCACCACATCCCAATGGTGCTCTATTATATTGAGATCTGGTGACTGTGGAGGCCATTTGAGAACAGTGAACTCATTGCCATGTTCATGAAACCAGTCTGAGATGATTCACACTATGACATTATCCTGCGTTATCCTGCTGGAAGCAGCCATCAGAACATGGATACACTGTGGTCATAGAGGGATGGACATGGTCAGTAACAATACTCAGGTAGGCTGTGGCATTAACACGATGCTCAATTGGTATTAATGGGCCCAAAGTGTGCCAAGAAAATATCCCCTACACTATTACACCACCAGTACCAGCCTGAACCGTTGATACAAGACAGGGTGGATCCATGCTTGCTGTTCTTAGCTGACGGGAGCGGCACCCGGTGTGGTCTTCTGCTGCTGTAGCCCATCTGCCTCAAGGTTGGACGTGTTGTGTGTTCAGAGTTGCTCTTCTGCAGACCTCTAATGAGTGGTTATTTGAGTTTCTGTTGTCTTTCTATCAGCTGAACCAGTCTGGGCATTCTCATCTGACCTCTGGCATCAACAAGGCATTTATGCTCACAGCTCATCTGCCGCTCACTAGATATTTTGTTTCAGACCATTCTCTGTAAACCCTAGAGACGGTTGTGAGTGAAAATCCCAGTAGATCAGCAGTTTCTGAAATACTCAGACCAGCCTGTCTGGCACCAACAACCATGCCACATTTAAAATCACTTAACTCCCCTTTCTACCCCATTCTGATGCTCAGATTGAACTGCAGCAGATCGTCTTGACTATGTCTACATGCCTAAATGCATTGAGTTGCTGCCATGTGATTGGCAAATTAGAAACTTGTGTTAAGGAGCAGTTGGACAGGTGTAAGTAATAAAGTTGTGTATAACAGCAGAAGATGACGAAAAAAGGGAATATCTATGAACAATTTGTACAGTTGACAATGTTGAAAAATGAACACTTTACACGTCAATGTTTTTGTTAAAATGTATTTTGGCTGCTTGTCAACATTTTCATTATTTAGCTTAAGGCGCAGATCTGTTGAGATAGACACTGTAGCCCATTCAGCATGCTTTATATTCTGAATTAAACCAAATGATCCACATATTATTTGATGAAGTCAATATATACACGGGCCTCTTGGTTGAAGCCCAGAAAACTTTTGCTTCTAGAGTTTTTATTTAATTAAGAAAAACAGATGGACATTTAAAATCTAATTCTATAAAGACCTTCGTCTGAGTTAACGTTTTTCGGTTCTCACATCAGGAACAAACATCAATTTACTAGATGCGCTATACCACAGGTGTCAAAGCCAGTTCCTGTAAGGCCGCAGCTCTGCACTGTTTAGCTTTAACTCTATTTTAACACGCATGATCAAACTAATTAAGTCCTTCAGGCTTGTTTGAAACCTACACGTGAAGCTGTGGTCACACTGGGCTTTTTCTCCCGTAGACTTCCATTCATATGCACGCGAATGCGTCAGACCGGAAACGCAGGGTTATGCGTTAAGTTTCGCAGGTTGCTGTGGTGCAAAGTTCAAGCTTGGTGAACTCTGACCTGCGAAATCGCATCACTTGACTGCGTGAGACCAGTCGAGGATCAAAACATGACCTCTCTGGACACAAATTTAAAACATGGAGCAATCGCTCGCTTTTTAAAATGTCAAATAAGCTTGTTAAATCCCGCCTCTTTTCGCAGCGCCGCACGACAGAATTTCGCACACACAAACTCTAGTGCGACCGTAGCTTAAGTGTGTTGAAGCAGGGTTGAAACTAAACTGTCCAGGAACTGGATTTGACATCTGTGCTCTAAACCAGGGGTGTCCAAACTCAGTCCTGGAGGGCCGGTGTCCTGCTGAGTTTAGCTCCAACTTGCTTCAACACACCTGCCAGGAAGTTTTTGGTATATCTTGCAGGAGCTTGATTAGCTGGTTCAGGTGTGTTTGATTAAGGTTGGAGCTAAACTCTCCCTATCACCGGCCCTCCAGGGGTCCGTTCTTCGTACCTCGCTTAAATGATCTAAGATGATTTGGCAGATCCCGGATCTTTTAATCTTGATAACTGATCTCTCGCTAATTTGGTTCTTCTAACAAGTTCGCGAATCAGATTAGAATGTCTGGATGAACTGATCTGAGATCGCTGCGTGTGTTATGAAGGACAGATCTATCGATCCTCGAAATCATGATCAGCAATGCAACGATTGGCTGACGGCACAGCAGCGTAATGACATCATCTGATTAATATTCAATTATCCATGCGAGCAAAATTACATCAAATTAGCAGTAAATGGTTTGTTAAATATGACACGCAATAACCTTCCACATTTGTTGTGAGCTGCAGGCTTTATACTTTCATGTCAAGAGTATTCATCATGTATTTCAATGCAAATCAATGTATTTAGTTCCACATTTAGAAAAGATTTTCTTTATTATAGTAGCCATTTTTTTTTAATCGGTGTAAAGAATAACTGGTTGTTTACAAAAGCATTTTCATATTGGTAAAGGCGTCTGCAACTTTTGTGAAGCATCAATCACCGGCATATTAACTATCAAAACATGTTTATGACTGCTGAAATGTATTATTGCTTCAAAAAAAGTCACATATTGTGCATTTCTATTATACACAATTTGTTCTAAAGCGATCTAAAAAGTTCATATCAATAAGTTTTCTCTTTGCACCACCAGATGGCAGTCTTTGTACTTTCATTTCGAGGGTGCAGATTGCATAAGTTTTATTAATATGTATAACTTTATTTATTTTATTAATGACTATAACTTTATATATATATTTAAAAATTATGTATTATTTTCCCAAGTGTATATAACTACTACTGTAAGAAAATATCAGAATTCGGAACATACTTTCAGTATTATCTTTGCTTGAACTGAGCCGATCTAATCCTGTTTACATGAATTGAACCTGCTTCCGATCAGGTTTGACCTAGCAGAACTGTTGCTATGACAACAACTCTCGGATCAGCTTTGAAGAACGAAACGATCCTGGATCATGTCAAATCGTCAATATCCAAATCTAGCTAACTGAGTAATCCACGTACGAAAAACGGACCCCAGGACCGAGTTTGCTCTAAACTATCAAAATAACCTGGAATTAGCAGGAAACACAAATGAATCAACTGTGCGTCCCTCCATTTAGTCCACTTTAAACCTTGCTAGAAAATGTTGGCTAGCAGCTGCACTGTTTGAACTTGATTGGGCGATTCTAATTGGTCCATTCTGAAGCGTCAAAAGTGATCTTGATTAGATTTAGAGTTAACAATGGGACCTGTCAACTTTTAACAAGCACTAGTTGCATCCCAAATGACACTTTATACACTATACACTACTTAAAGGTCAAACTGCCCAAAATCACCTGTCATGAGTACAACTGCATTCACCTTTAGGAGGTGCCCTGATCGTGTATGACAGGGGTGCCCAGACTCTGTCCTGGAGTGCCGGTTTCCTGCAAAGTTTAGTTCCAACCCCAATCAGACACACCTGGGCTAGCTAATCAAGCTCTTACTAGGCATTCTAGAAACATCCGTGCAGGTGTGTTGAGGCAAGTTGAAGCTAAAATCTGCAGGACACCAGACCTCCATGTACTTATGTAGTCAAATTTTGCTGGCACAATCCAAAATAAAGTAAACCAGCCTCAGCACCGGGTGTCTCTGCTACAATAGCAGGGCTGTGTCCATTCTGTCGTCTGGTTAAGTACAACATCTGGGTGGTACTTCTTTTTTAGACATTTCATTGTGAATCCACTACAAAATGGTGTAGAATTGTGCATAAGTATGTGATTTGGGATGCACCTACTGTGTCATAACGAGTCCTGAGGCGATGTATTTGGCCAGATTTAAATTCTTACCAGTTTCACCTTCATGACCATGCCCATGTGTGTGTCCCATAGGTTCTTCTCGAGCCTTTTGGCTAGCCAAACAACCTTCAAACGACAGTCCCGTTCCCAGCAATGATCCACTGAGGCTGTCTCTAGCAGATTCTGATTCAGCCAGTGCTAGCAGTGGAACCACCAGCAGTGCCAGCGCTCCTCTAGATCCGCCATCACAGCAGCAGAGCGGCCTCAGAGAATCCAGCATAATCAGCGATGAGGACGAAGACGGCAGCGAGCCGGCTGATTGGACGGATGCTCCCAATGCTATCGAGGTCCAATTTCGCAAGCTTGGTCTGACCGAGGAGACCTCCCAGGCAGCTGCTCCACGTGTGCAGCCGGAGAGCGGAGAAGTGGACACTCCAGAAAGGAAGGCTTCTCTAAAGCGAGCTCACTTTGCTGTGGTCAAACGCAAGCCCGCCAGAGACACGAATAGCCTCAGACGCAGTCAGGTGGCCCTGCTGAACATGCGTAGACACAGCCACTCTTTGGACATCCCAGCGGAGATCGCGGCACATAGTGTAGACCTGAACTCGCTACTGGAGAAAGATTTCAGCGTGCAGAGCCTGACCTCTGTTGTCAACGAAGACTTCTTCTATGACAATCCCATGGAGCCAAAGAATGTGACAACTTCATAGCAGATCAAGTTTAGGTGTGCTACGGTGAGCCACACACATCCTTTCCAAAGTTACTAGCCAGTTCATGCTAGCCAATTCAGAGTCTTATTTTCAGCATATGTGGAACCCCAGTTTAACAGAGCTTTATTAAGGGTGGTGTAAAGCGTTGAATAATTCCCTGTGTTTCACAGCACTAATTTACTGAACTGCCCACATAGCAACTGTTTTGCACTAGTGAACCAAATTACAGGCCTTCATCGTGCTTTTGTAAAACTAAGACTGATCTGCTCTCACACACACACACACACACACATACTAAAGAGCTATTCAACTTCAGGAACCAAACTCTGTCAGGTTTTTCATTTTGCCTTTGTTCTTTGGACACTACAAATCCTTTTTTTTTAAGTATTGCTTTTATCTCTGTCATGGATTTGCTCTGTATAAAACATTTGATCTATTTATTGTTTTATTATTACTATTATAAATATTTATTTTTAATAGGAACTCAAATGTAAAGTAGACAGATTTGATCTTGACCGATACACCAGCTGTGATATTAACTGGTGATCTGTAGACATTCAGTCAGGAATATAAGCGCTATAGGCTGGAGCTCTACTTCTCAAATAAAGACTGCAGGATTTTTTTTAAGGATGTTTAAAATCTGTAAATGTTTTTTTATGGATTACTGTATCAATTTTAAGTTTATATATGTTTGACACTTCACGGGAAAAACCTGTAATAAAAGGTGTGATTAAGTTGTCTGGTTATTTTTGTCTTAATTTGTGTGACAGAGGCCGGCTAGTGAGTGCTGTGCAGATAAACCTCCTCGTTTAAGCGTTTGCCTTATATGCAAAGAAATTCCAGGTCGGAGTGACTGTTGTATGACTGGCTGGTTAACATTGGTGCCGTGACCCGAATGGGAGTGAAGTTTAGGGGTTCAGTCTAACGGAGGCCAGCTAGTGAGTGCTGTGCAGACAAACCTCCTCGTTAAAGCGTTTGTCTTCCATGAAAAAGAACTCCCAGCTCAGAGCGAGTGTTTGGGTGGTGTAGGACTGGCAGTTTAATATTGGTGCCGTGACCCGGATGGGAGTGAGGATTAGGGGTTCAATGTAATGGAGGCCAGCTAGTGAGTGCCGTGCAGTTAAACCTCTTTAGCCTCCTTGTTAGAGCATTCGCCTTCCAAAGAATTCCTAGCTAAGAACGAGCGAGTGGTGTAGAACTGGTGGGTTAACACTGGTGTTGTGACCTGGATGAGAGTGAGGTTTAAGGGTTCAGTGTAATGGAGGCCAGCTAATGTTGCTGTTTAGGTAAACCTCATTAGAGTGTTCACCTTCCATGCAAAGAATTCCCAGCTCAGAGCGAGCGAGTGGGTGGGTGGTGTAGGACTGGCCCTTGGTCCCGACTAAATGAAGCAAACTACAGATGTGAAAGCACCCTGAAGCACGACTGGTTTCACTTTCTCGAGAGATTTGCGTGCGTGTCTAATGTGATGGTCTAATGTGAATTAACGAACTTGAGCTGATGATGATAACATGCACATGATTATTGAAGTGCTTCTGACATCCTTTCAGAAACGGAAAAACGTGAGAGAAGCGTGAAAAAAACAAAGGAGAAGCCGAAAAAAAATAAAGGAGCAAATGATTTATTCAGCAACCTAAAACATGAACAAACTGCCATGTTTAACTATTATCATCACCTTTTAGACTATTATGACGGACTTTTTAACTATGTTAACGTCACATATGGGCTGCTGAAGATTAAAGATACAGAGGAGAGGTTTGCACTGACTGTGGGGTATATTTTGCGTTGTTTTTTAACCTAAATAAGGACTAAATGTCTGCTGTGTGTAGTTTTTCTGCAATTGATAACATATTGGAGACTGTAAGGGTCTGTATGTGTTCATATATGTTAATTTATTTAATATAATTGCAAACGTTACAGTAGGCTACTTCACACTATCATTGATCTGCAGTTATAATTAAGTCGTGTTCATAGAGGGTTAGTAATGAACATTTATACACAAGTATTCATGTGTATAAAGCATCTGTTTGTGAGAAGTGCTTCTCATATGGTATGTGAACGACGCTTACAGCTTTACTGTAGACATACATTCGAGCGAGAATGATGTCGACTGAAACTTTCGCTTGTACACCGAATCCCACCATTGGTATCCTTAGGCAGTATAGATGTGGTGACCCTTACCGTACCACTCAGTGGAAATGAGGCATTAGAACGTCAACCTTGTTAGCACACATCCTAAAAAAACGAAGACAAATCATTTATTCATCAGAACTCAGATTATTTTTGTGCTAGCTCTGTCTGTCAGATGTCAGCCGCTAGTTGTAAAACGATTCCTGCAGCTCTTTTGCGATTGTTTTTTTTTTGGGCCACCCCGTTTTCAATGTTGGTTCTTAGCCTCTTTCTCTGTATTGATCTAATGTTCTTTCTCATTTACAAAGCAGCTTCAAATAAAACAATCCAACGTTTCCCTCCACAACAATAAGACCCAGGAAAATGTTTCAATCTCACCATTTGAAAAGCTTTTACTGAGTGTTTCAACGTCAAACCTTATACACAACTTTCTTCTGACTCTTCATTTGCCTGCAGACATCTGTCCGAGAGACATTACCTCAGCCTGTGTTAGGGGTTTCCATCGGAAAGTTCTGTTTGGTTGCTCCTGTCCGACTGTCTCTTTACCTGATGCTTGAATTTCAGTTCCTCTCTGAAGTCGTAGTCGAAAAGGCCTTGGTTCTCATTGCAAAGCTTGCTGTAGGCGTCTGCTAAAGCCCTGAATTCAGAAATAGAGATCTCTGTGGGCCGCAGTGTGGGATCCACATCAGCACTGCACAACAGCTCCTCCGTCAGTTCTTGGCGCTGAGACTCTGGGAACAGCATCCTGCAGCATTGAAGGAAACACATCACAGGCTGACACAACAACTTAACGGTGAGAACTTGAAAAGCACGGTGGATGTGACGTTACGCGGCCTGTGCGGATGTTCGTTTAGCGCTTGTCAAGCAGGGAAAGCGGCGGCGCATGATTTATTCAGCTGCTGGAATTACAGATGTTCTTCCTCACTCTGGTGTCACTGTTGCAAGATTGCCTGATTGTATGTTTACTACTTGCCTCAGAGTTCTCCATATTTAATTTCAAAGAGATCACGCTGCATTTAAGAACCTAGAAAACATCTACCCATGTCGTTTAACTGTTGTGTGGTCCCTTAATTCTGCATATTCGGTTTGTCCTACGGGTCAATAATGACTAAACTGTAAAATAAAGCAGCAACAATTCAATTCTCAAATTGATTTAGCATGAAGAAACAAGCTCATCTTCATCCAAACTCTGCCTCGTCAGTGTTTCATCAATGCTCAAAGTACCTGCGTAAGTGTGAAATGTTTTAGGTAAGGCGGTATTCATGAAGGTTGAGCAGCAGATTCTTAAAATAGTCACAGGTCACTATTGACCCCGCAAATCAACAGAAGGGGTAAAACAGGCAAATTCATGTCATCACAGTTAATTATGATGGCTTGAGAAAGTTACAGTAATACTGCATCAACTTCTTAGACTATTTTAAGAACGCATCTCCTCCTAGACCGTTCATACTACAACCACCAAACTAACTTCAAACCTTCAAACTACAGGGTGGGCTATTTATATGGATACACCTTAATAAATTGGGAATGGTTGGTGATAGTAATGTCCTGTATGTGACACATTAGTATATGTGAGAGGGCAAACTTTTCAAGATGGATGGTAACCATGGTGGCTATTTTAAATTCGGCCATCTTGGATCCAACTTTTGTTTTTTCAATAGGAAGAGGGTCATGTGACACACAAACTTATTGGGACTTTGACAAGAAAATCAATGGTGTGCTTGTGTTTTAACGTAACTTTATTCTTTCATGAGTTATTTACAGGTTTGTTGCTGCACATCTTGTATCTTCACACATGAGACAATTGCCTTCAGATGACCCCAAGGATAAAAGTCTAAGGGGGTCAGATCGGGACCCATGATGACCAATTACTTTACAGGTTCATCAATGATGTGGTGGTGCACCATATTGCTGGAAAAACTAAGGGAACGTGCCAGCTTCAGTGCATAAAGAGGGAAACACATCATCATGTAGCAATTTCAAATATCCAGGGGCCTTGAGGTTTCTTTTGATGAAGCCCCACTATCTTTGCTGTCTATGGTGTGAAGATACAAGATGTGCAGCACCTGAAACTACGGATACTGGAAGCCTGTGCTGGTATTTCTCCTAAGGTGTTTCTATCAGAGTGTGAAGAGTGGGAGAAAAGAGTTGCATTGACAATCTAACACAATGGGCAGCACATTGAACGCATTTTATAAGTGGTCAGAAACTTGTAAATAACTCATGAAATAATAAAGGTACGTTAAAACCAAGCACACCATTGTTTTTCTTGTGAAATTCCCAATAAGTTTGATGTGTCACATGACCTTCTTCCTACTGAAAAAACAAACGTTGGATCCAAGATGGCCGACTTAAAAATGGCCACCATGGTTACCACCCATCTTGAAAAGTTTGCCTCCTCACATATACTAATGTGCCACAAACAGGAAGTTAATATCACCAACCATTCCCATTTTATTAAGGTGTATACATATAAATGGCAAAAATAAATGGAAAATTTGGAAAAGTCCCATTGACTTAACATTAGACCAAACTACAGGACCTCATAACTTTGTGCCAGACTGTCATACAGACTTAAAGTTGGGCTCATTTAACTCTACCAGACTACCAGACTACCAATCTGCCAATCACTGATCACATTTCAGCTTACTAGCTACACCCTGTCTAGCCCATCATTAATTCTGTTTATTTACTAGAGTAAATGTGTGTAAATATATATTCTGTTTTTTAATCAATTACATTAATTTTATTGACTAATATGAAAACGTGCGTCTGATTTATGTACAATGAAGTGTGTACAGTAATATTTTCTGTCTTTTAGTAGACATTTTATATCAGAGACTAGCTTTGTTTACCAAATAAAGTGAATCTAATTGGATTTGCAATTTAAACATTAAATAAAAGTTAAAAAGGTATTACTTTTTATTTCACATATGAAAGTTTTAGTAATGATGCTCCCAAAATAATTCCGCAGAAATCCAGACTTTTACCAAAATTCTCTGCAGAAATAGCAAAAAAACTTTCGCAGATTACGTCTGGCCCTACTAATAATACTAACAAACTAATCCATACTAGCAACATGCTAATTTATATTATACACATACTAGCAAAATGCTAATTCATACAAAATTCATGCTAACAGCATGCTAGTTTATACTAGCAACATCCTAATGCATACTAAATTGCATGCTAACAGCATGCTAGTTTATACTAGAAACATGCTAATTCATACTATAAACATACCATCAGCATGCTATTTCATAGTAAATTCAAGCTAACAGCATGCTAGTTTATGCTGGAAACATGCTAATTTATGCTAGAAACATGGTAGCAACATGCCAATTCACACTAAAACCATAGTAATTTATGTTAGCAACTGCCTAGCAACCACAAAACACCTTAGTAGCTGCCTAGCAACACCATAGTAACCACCTAGAACACCCTAGCAACAGCCTAGCAACGCCTTAGCAACAACCTAGAACATCCTAACAAAGCCTTAGTAACCACTCAGAACACTCTAGCAACACATTAGAAACTGCCCAGCAACCACTCAGAACACCCTAGCAACCACCTAGCAATGCCTTGGCAACCATCTAAAACACCCTAGCAAAGCCTTAGTGGCCACTCAGAACACCTTAGCAATGCCTTAGAAACTGCCTAGCAACCACTCAGAACACCTTAGCAACAGCCTAGCAACGTCTTAGCAACCACTTAAAACACTTTATCAACACCTTAGAAACCACTCAGAACACCTTAGCAACTGCCTAGCAACAGTTAGTAACCTTAGTAACCAACTAGAACACCCTAGCAAAGCATTAGTAACTACTCAAAACACTCTAGCAACCACTCTGAACACCTTAGCAATGACATTGAACACCTTAGCAACCACCTAGCAATGCCTTGGCAACCACCTATAACACCTTAGCAATGCCTTAGAAACTGCCCAGCAACCACTCAGAACACCTTAGCAACAGCCTAGCAACGTCTTAGCAACCATTCAAAACACTCTATCAACACCTTAGAAACCACTCAGAACACCTTAGCAACTGCCTAGTAACAGTTAGTAACCTTAGTAACCAACTAGAACACCCTACCAAAGCATTAGTAACTACTCAAAACACTCTAGCAACCACTCTGAACACCTTAGCAATGACATTGAACACCTTAGCAACCGCCTAGAACAGCCTAGTGATCACCTAGCAATGCCTTATCAACTACTCAGAACATTCTGGCAACCACATAGCAACCACTCGGAATACCCTAGCTTAACCACCTTAACTACCTGGAACACCCTGGCAACCACTCAGAACACCCTAGCAATGACATTGAACACCTTAGCAACCACCTAGCAATGCCTTGGTAACCACCTAGAACACCTTAGCAATGCCTTAGAAACTGCCTAGCAACCACTCAGAACATCTTAGCAACAGCCTAGCAACGTCTTAGCAACCACTCAAAACACTCTATCAACACCTTAGAAACCACTCAAAACACCTTAGCAACTGCCTAGTAACAGTAAGTGACCTTAGTAACCAACTAGAACACCCTACCAAAGCATTAGTAACTACTCAAAAAACTCTAGCAACCACTCTGAACACCTTAGCAATGACATTGAACACCTTAGCAACTGCCTAGAACAACTTAGTGATCACCTAGCAATGCCTTAGCAACTACTCAGAATATTCTGGCAACCACATAGCAACCACTCGGAATACCCTAGCTTAACCGCCTTAACTACCTGGAACACCCTGGCAACCACTCAGAACACCCTAGCAATGACATTGAACACCTTAGCAACCACCTAGCAATGCCTTGGCAACCACCTAGAACACCTTAGCAATGCCTTAGAAACTGCCTAGCAACCACTCAGAACACCCTAGCAACGTCTTAGCAACCATTCAAAACACTCTATCAACACCTTAGAAACCACTCAGAACACCTTAGCAACTGCCTAGTAACAGTAAGTAACCTTAGTAACCAACTAGAACACCCTACCAAAGCATTAGTAACTACTCAAAACACTCTAGCAACCACTCTGAACACCTTAGCAATGACATTGAACACCTTAGCAACCACCTAGCAATGCCTTGGCAACCACCTAGAACACCTTAGCAATGCCTTAGAAACTGCCTAGCAACCACTCAGAACACCTTAGCAACAGCCTAGCAACGTCTTAGCAACCATTCAAAACACTCTATCAACACCTTAGAAACTACTCAGAACACCTTAGCAACTGCCTAGTAACAGTTAGTAACCTTAGTAACCAACTAGAACACCCTACCAAAGCATTAGTAACTACTCAAAACACTCTAGCAACCACTCTGAACACCTTAGCAATGACATTGAACACCTTAGCAACCGCCTAGAACAACCTAGTGATCACCTAGCAATGCCTTAGCAACTACTCAGAATATTCTGGCAACCACATAGCAACCACTCGAAATACCCTAGCTTAACCACCTTAACTACCTGGAACACCCTGGCAACCACTCAGAACACCCTAGCAACCGCCTAGCAACACCTTAGCAGTAACTCAGAAAACCCTAGCAACTACCTAGCAAGAAACATGCCAATCCATACTAGAAACCTGCTAACCTATATGTAGTTATCTCTCTATGTTGCTTCAAACCTCCTTCAATGATTTAAACTTTTAAACTGCTTCAAGCTTTCAGGCTCGTCTTTCTCAAGCCAGCATAAAGTTTGTCTGTGAGCTTTACTTTTCTAGTTTGTTTTGTGTTCCCGTGAGGCCCATGTTTAAGCCATCATCAGATCCATGTTAAAACAGGTGAGGAGAGAAGAGAGGTGAGTGATGTGGATTGAATGGGAAGTGCTTACCCGAGTCCTCTGCGGCAGTGTTTCCTCCGGAACTGGAAAGCGTTCTTGACAATCTTCTCGACCAGCTTGAAGGGCTGCTGGATCTGGGGCTGCGCCAGCGGAGTGAAGTGCACCACCCCCACATCGACCTACGCACACCGCGGGGAGATGAGATGCAAACACACAGACAACAGTCAGACCTGGAGACCTGATTCGAGAGCTACTCCTACTCCAGTGAGGGGGAGATACGGAGCGGGGAATAGTGCGAGAGGGATGTACACGTGAAGGAAAAACAGCGGAGGGTGGGGAGACGAGACGCTGAGTGACGCCGCACGATGACAAGCAGGTTGCTACAGTAACACCTGTTTGAAGGAGCAACAAAACAAGCCTCTTCAAATGTGAATTGTAAGTCTCGTTACACTACTGCTTACTAAATGTTCCTAGAAGCACGGTCTAGTGGTGTTGCGGTGGGGGATGCTTCAGCTTGTGCTGCTACTGGTTCACCGATCAACACCAAGAGACAGAGCTTTATTAATTATGCAAAAAATACATTGATGTCTGCTGTGCCCAGACTAAAACTCTTTCGTGTATCTGTGCATAATTACGGTAAACTCCCAATTCTTTTACCCACCTGTAGCATAACAAATTTTGGCAACATTTGGCTGCAAGGGGTGTTCATAAGACACATCATGAATATGGAGATTATGTGCCATTCTTTCAGCAATGTCGTTTTACATGCAGAGTTGTCATTGTTTGACACTATCATCAAGACAAATGAACTCGTCATAAATCTGTCATAAACATGACTGCCGTGAGGCCATTATAAATGCGTCATGAATGTTTTCTGATCAGTTTTTTCAGTGAAACACTGATCATGTGAGTTTCTAATTATGTGTCAATACTCTGTTAAATAAACTTATAACAGCATCATTAATATTGAAGGACACTTAATGACATTTTAAGTCCAAACACCAAGTTTGTGCAACTGTAGTGGAGGTCAAGATAAATTATTAATGTCTGTTTCAGGGGTGCTACTGGCCTGTATGGGCCCTATTTCTTTGGTGTCATGGATGAAAGTGAAGGGGGGGATGCAGTGGACAAAAGTGAAGAGAGGGGTGGGGGTGGTGTGGGGGCATGTCGCAGACGAATATGAAGACTGGGGGTATTGAAATTTGTATTTATATAGGGCATTTATCGTGTATTGCCATACACCCAAAGTGCTACACAATCAGGGGGTGGGGGAGGGGGTCTCTCCACACCTTCACTATTGTGCAGCATCTGGATGATGAGGCGGCAGCCATAGGACAACGGTACCAGTGCGCTCACTACACACCAGGTATAGGTGGAGTGGAGAGACAGTGATAAAGACAATTCAGTGGATGGGGATGATTGGGGAGGCCATGATCGTAAGGGACTTTGGCCAGGACACCGGGGTTAGACCCCCCACTCTTTATGAGAAGTGCCATGAGATTTTTAAAGACCACAGAGAGTCAGGATCTCAGTTTAACGTCTCATCCGAAAGATGGCGCTCATTAACAGTATAGTGCCTCCCTTACTTTTTTACTTGGGCATTAGGACTCACACAGACCGCAGGTTGAGTGCCACCCTGCTGCCCTCAAGAACACCACTTCCAACAGCAACCTAGTTTTCCCATGTGGTCTCCAATCCAGGTACTGACCGGGCACAGCCCTGCTTAGCTTCAGTGAGCAACCGGTGTTAGTGTGCAGGGTGATATGGCTGTGTATTCACGGATGAAAGTGATTGGCAGCTGGGTGGGTGCAGGGTGGGGGTGTCACGGACGAAAGTGAAGAGAGGGGTGGGTCTCTGGGAGACCCAAAACGGAGTTGGCCCTTAGATTATTCCTAACAGAGGTGCCCCTGGTTTGAGTATTAGAATACATAACAATTATAACAACATCATGACAATCATGTTTATGACAGATTTATGACACGTTATTATGTATTTGCTAATGTCAAGATGTCACAACGACATGTTTTCATAATTAAGCATTTAAAATTTTTAATGACAGTTGTCATGCATAAAATCTCATTAATATTCATGTCTTATGTCAGGCGACAGGGTGGCTCAGTGGGTAGCAATGTCGGCTTACAGAAAGGAGGTCGCTGGTTTGAGTCCAGGCTGGGTCAGATGGCATTTCTGAGTGGAGTTTGTACGTTCTCTCCATGTCCACGTGGGTTTCCTCTAGGCTTGGGCGGTATCCAAATTTTGATACCGTCAAACCTCCTCACAATTTTACCTCGGTATCCGATATTACCGTGCATAATTAAAAAAATTATGATGCAAGACAGCATCACCAAAATGTTGGCTTGTGCCTAAACCCTTCAGAAGCTGCATACCGTATATGCGACCTTAGGTTCGCGGTCCCCTGTTTGTGTTGTTCGTATTAGAGATCTGCGCAGGACGCTCTCTCTCATTTACACACACACGCACTCACACACACACACAGGGAGAGAGAGAGAGAGAGAGAGAGAGAGAGACAGCACCACTCTCTCTCTCTCTCTCTCTCTCATTCACACACAGAGAGAGCGCTATCTCTCATTCACACACACAGCATCCATGTGGATGCCTGCGTGCTCGCTCGCTCAGGAGCGATATTGTTAGACTGCGCACCCGCTCCCTTTCAAATTACACTAGAGTTACCGACCGCTCCCGTGCTTAATTTGGAAATGTATTCCCTCACTGTAAGAAATCTGGTCGGCTCCAGCGGTACAGCAAGAGGAATGCAGACCTCTAGTTCGTATTTACCACATCTCCCTTCTCGTTCATTCGAAACCGGAAATACTGCAAAACTGCATGTCACTTGGTGCGCGACTAACCGCCATCTCTCTCTCGGATAACAATCACGCATTCGCATTTGTAGGCATTAAATAATATTTAATATTTAATACTGGTCACCTATATAAGTGCATTGTTTTTTTTTTATGACGGTATAACAATATTGAAACTGACATCGTTGCTATTTTTAGATCCCGCGGTATACCATATTACCGGATTACCACCCAAGCCTAGTTTCCTGCGGGTGCTCCGGTTTCCCCCACAGTCCAAACACATGCGCTATAGGTGAATTGAATAACTAAATGGACCATACTGTATTAGTGTAAATATGAAAGTGTGTGTGTTTCCCAGTACTGGGTTGCAGCTGGAAGGGCAATCGCTGCATAAAACATATGCCATAATAGTTAGCGGTTCATTCCGCTGTTGAGACCTCTAAAATAGTGACTAAGCCAAAGGAAGGAATGTCTTATGTCATCATTATAAAGATTTTATGACAGTCTTATGAACACCCCAATCAAGTTAAGTGTTAAGCAAATGGAGTCACTTATCTGCTACTTTTCCATAGTGCATATTTTGAACTCGGGTTGAGTGAACGCTAAAGCCTTAATATCTGAGGAATGCAGATATGACAGCAGTGTTACAAGTCAATCAATAAATAAATACATTAATAAGTCAAACGGGCTGGAATGGAGATGAGAAATGGAGAAGGACAGAAGAGAATGCTGTTAGTTTTAGGTGATCGAGCAGGAACGCCAACTGATTTGTGCTGCATTTACTGTGGTTTACCAGAAAACATGTTTAGTTAAGTTGCAGTCATGCAGGTCTCTCGGGTTCCTAGACGTCGGCAGATTGTTAAACTCTCTGGGTCGCTGTAAATAAACTACAAGCAGGATACAAGGCTCTTTTCTGATGTTTAGGGCTACAAAAAGGCAATACACTTGAGATGACAGACAAGTAAAGATATGACAAGAGCTTTCAGAAAGCATTGACTCAACAGACTCAGTTGTGCAGAAGGAGAACTAACATTCAGGAATCAATTTGGCCACCTGTCATTTACCCCACTAGGGATGCTGGTTTTAAAATGAGACTGTTTACCTCCTTCGTTTTTTTTTTCTTCGTCTAAGGGTCTGACATAAGCATGGGACGATAACCGGTTTAAAGATTTACTGTGGTTTGGAAAAAAAATCAAGGTTTTAAAACCGCTAAAATGTTCAGTTATACCATTCCTAAGGTTTTTTGAATGTGGTTTTTAATGTGTTGTGAAGAAATCTGTGCCTTTAAAACTAATGAATAATTTAGCCAGACATGTTTACTGCTCCAAAATATTATAAATGTTTCCTAAAATCGAATATTGTGTTAAATGAAATAGTATGTGTTAAAAGAGAGGGGGGGGGGTTGCCCACACATTTAAAAAGTACTTATTTTAGAGCGGTAATCATAATACTGTGAAACTGTGATATTTTTATCCAAGGTTATTATACCGTTAGAAGCTTATATGCCTAGTCTGACATTTTGACCAGATACATTAATATAACTAATGATGCATGCAACACAATATTTCACAGCTCGACATGTATAAACAAGCAGATAAAGATCCCATCAAGCTTTTATTTGCTTAAAAGAAGTCTAATAGATGTCTAAACAGAAGGCTTGGCTAATACAATGCTAAATTTGGTCTGTTCGTGAAAATCTAATAGGACTACACAAGTAACAATAGACTAGTCATCAAATAGACAGAAATGAAGGATGTGAAGTCTGTCTGATCTGTGTATTTGGTATTTAGGGCTATCCTTAGACGTCTATTACATTTTCGCAAATTTACCCAAGACATAATTGTTTAGATGTCTATAAGATGTCTATTAAACACAGGATTAGTTAATGGGATATAACATTCTGTCTTCAAGTGATATCAACGAAAACCAGAAGGTTATCATGATAAAGAGGTCCAGATGAAGTACGCCTTTTCTTAGACGTCTGTTATATTTTCACAAATTTACCCAATTTGTCAATGTTTAGATGTCTATAAGACGTCTATTAAACAGTAGATTGCTTAATGGGATATAACATACGGTTTTCAAGTGATATAAACAAAGACCAGAAAGTTATCAAGATAAAGAGGTCCAGATGAAAAACGCCTTTTCTTAGACGTATGTTATATTTACACAAATTTACCCAAGCCGTCAATGTTTAGATGTCTATAGGACGTTTATTAGACCGAAAATTGCTTAATAGGATATAACGTTCTGTCTTCAAGTGATATTAACAAAGATCATAAAGTTATCAGGATAAAGTGGTCCGGATGAAGTACGCCTTTTTCTTAGACGTCTGTTATATTTTCACAAATTTACACAATCCGTCAGTGTTTAGATGTCTATAAGACGTCTGTTAGACAAAAGATTGCTTAATAGCATATAACGTTTCATCTTCAAGCGATTTAAACAAAGACCAGAATGTTTTCAGGATAAAGAGGTCCAGATGAAGTACGCCTTTTCTAGGACGTCTGTTATATTTTCACAAATTTACCCAAGACATCAATGTGTAGATGTCTATCAGACGTCTGTTAAACAGAGATTGCTTAATAGGGTATAACGTTCTGTCTTCAAGTGATAGCTATCAAGATGAAGAGGTACAGATGAAGTACACCTTTTCCTTGACGTCTTTATATTTTCACAAATTTACCCAAGAAGTCAATGTTTAGATGTCTATAAGATATCTATTAAACAGTAGATTACTTAATGGGATATAACATTCCGTCTTCAAGTGACATAAACAAAGACCAGAAAGTTATCTGGATAAAGTAGTCCAGTTAAAGGACACCTTTTCTTAGACGTCTATCATATTTTCACAAATTTACCCAACCCGTCAATGTTTAGATGTCTATAGGATGTCTATTAAGCAGAAGATTACTTAACATGATATAACATTCTGTCTTCAAGTGATATAAACAAAAAAACAGAAATTTATGAGGATAGAGGTCCGGATAAAGTACTGTATGCCTCTTCTTACACGTCTATCATATTTTCACAAGTTTACCCAAGCCGTCAATGTTTAGATGTCTATAAGACGTCTATTAGACAGAAGATTGCTTAATAGGATATAACGTTTCGTCTTTAAGTGATATAAACAAAGACCAGAAGGTCATCAGGATAAAGAGGTCCAGATGAAGTACGCCTTTTCTTAGACATCTATCAAATTTTCATAAATTTACCCAATCCGTCAATGTTTAGATGTCTATAAGACGTCTATCAAATACAACATTGCTTAATGGGATATAACGTTCTGTCTTCAGGCGATATAAACAAAGACCAGAAGGTTATCAAGATACAGAGGTCCAGATGAAGTGTCTTTTCTTAGACGTCTACCATATTTTCACAAACCCAATCTGTCAATGTTCAGATATCTATAGGACGTCTATTAAACAGAACATTGCTTAATGGAATATAATATTCTGTCTTCAAGTAATATAAACAAACACCAGAAAGTTATCAGGATAAAGAGGTCCATATAAAAGTACGTAATTTTTTAGACATCTGTTAAATTTTTACAGATTTACACAATCCGTCAATGTTTAGATGTCTATAGGACGTCAATTAAACAAAAGAATGCTTAATAGGATATAACATTCAGTCTTCAAGTTATCAGGAAAAAGAGGTCCAGAGGAAGTTTGCCTTTTAAAACAATACAATTTTAAATGAATCCTGGTTCTCCTATTTTAATCCTATTTTTAACGCAACACGATGCATGTGTAGACAAATCCATTTGGGCTCATTACTGTCAGTAATAACCTTCACACACCATAACACCACTGTATATGCTCCCTACTATCCAGGTCTGCCATGAGCACCTGGGCATCTGCGCTATCCTAACACAAAGAGTGTGAAGTTTAATTTGTCATTTCTAATGGAAAATGATCAAACTGAAGTGGCAGTCCCTCAGG